GTGACAGCTGGCTCCATGAGGGCCCCCAGTGATCCCTATTTTATTTATTTTTTTGAGACATAATCTCACTCTGTTGCCCAGGCTGGAGTGCAGTGGACCGATCTCGGCTCACTACAACCTCCACCTCCTGGGTTCAAGTGATTCTCCTGCCTCAGCTTCCCAAGCAGCTGAGACTACAGGCTTGTGCCACCATGCCTGGCTAATTTTTGTGTTTTTAGTAGAGATGGGGTTTCACCATGTTGTCCAGGCTGGTCTCGAACTCCTGATCTCAAGTGATCCACCCACCTCGGCCTCCCAAAGTGCTGGCATTAATAGGTGTGAGCCACCAAGCCCAGCCAATCCCTGCCTCTTGGTGTTAACTCCCTGTGTGGTCCCCTCCCACATTGAACAGGGCTGGCCTGTGTCCAATAGGATATTAGAGAAATGATGGGATGTGACTTCCAGGGAGAGATCCTAAAAGACATTGAGGCCTCCTCCTTGTTCTTGCTTGGATTATTTGCTCTGGTGGAAGCCAGAAGCCATGTCCTGAGGACACTCAAACAGCCTAGGGGAGAGTCCATGTGATGGGCAACTGAGGTCTCTGTCAACATCCAGCATTAGCTTTTCATGTGAATGGGACACCTTGGGTGTCCTAGCCCCAGCCAAGCCTTCCAATGACTGTAGCCCTGGCTGAGATCTTGACTTTAACCTCATGAGAGACCCCAGAGCCAGTATTAGCCATAGAGCTGCTCCCAGATTCCTGACCTGCAGAAACTGTCTGTGATAATAGATGTCTATTGTTTTGTTTTTTTTTTCCCTCTCTCTCTTTAATTTTCTTTTTTCCTTTCCTTTTCCTGTAAGTCAGGAAACAAAGATGTGTATTTATTTATTTATGTTTTTGAGACAGGGTCTTGCTCTGTCACCCAGGCTGGAGTGCAGTGGCGCGATCTAGGCTCACTGTAACCTCCACCTCCTGGGCCCAAATAATCCTCCAACTTCAGCCTCCCAAGTAGCTGGGACTACAAGCATGTGCCACCATGCCCGGCTAATTTTTTATTTTTTTGTAGAGACATGGTTTCTCCATGTTGCCCAGGCTGATCTCGGACTCTTAGACTCAAGGGATCTGCCCGCCTCAGCCTCCCAAAGTACTAGGATTATAGGTGTCAGCCATTGCACTTAGCCAGATGTGTTTTTTTTTTTTTTTTGAGACGGAGTTTTTTGTCTGTTGCCCAGGCTGGAGTGCAATGGTGTGATCTTGGCTCACTGCAACCTCCACCTCTTGAGTTCAAGTGATTCTCGTGCCTCAGCCCCCTGAGTAGCTGGGATTACAGGCACCCGCCACCATGCCTGGCTAATTTTTGTATTTTTTGTAGAGATGGAATTTCACCATGTTGGCCGGGCTGGTCTGGAACTCCTGACCTCAGGTGACCCACCTGCTTTGGCCTTCCAAAGTTTTGGGATTAAAGGCATGAACCACTGCGCCTGGCCTAGATGTATATTGTTTAAAGTACCAAATTCCAGGGCAGTTTATTATGCAGTAATAGACCACCAATATACCATAAGAACCTGGGATTTTAGTCTAAGTATGATGGAATACCATTTAAGTATGAAGGAATGCAGGGGAGGGTCATGATCTGACTTCCTATGTGGAAAGACCTTCTGACGGGTGAGATCTGGACAATAGGGAGCTAGAGAAGAAGCAGGGGTCCACTTCTAAGAAGCAGGAGCTATTTCTTTTTTTTTTTTGTAACATGGACCGCTTCACAAATTTTCGTGTCATCCTTGCTCAGGGGCCATGCTAATCTTCTCTGTATCATTCCAATTTTAGTATATGCGCTGCCAAAGCGAGCACTACTTAGGAGCTATTAAACTAGTACAGCAGGTGTTGATGACGGCCTGGACCCAGGTCGCAGAGTTGGAAATGACAGAAGTGGACAGGTTAGGGTTGTAATTGGAGTTAGAGCCCACAGAACTTGCTGACAGTTGAATATGATAGGGAGGCAAGGGAAGAAATCAAAGATGCCAGGTTTTGGCTGAAGCAACTGGGTATTCAGCAGCGCCATTTCCTGCCAAGGAGAGACAGCTGGGATTACAGGTGCCTGCCACCATGCCA